CCTTTTCTTTGTTTTGTCTTTTTAAGCATTTTGTTCCGAGAAAAGTCAAATTCTAGAGTGCAGTGTTTTCTTTTGTAGCGGTGTATTATATCAGCAGCAGTGGCAGGTGAAAGGAAAAATTTGATGAATTAATGAAAGAATACATTTTATCAATGAATATGGAAGCTTTTTCGTATATTCTGGTAGAGATGTAAGAGGCCAGAGCGGAGTGGAATTTTGTTTGGATAAAACAACAGCAAAAGCTATTATGGGATATAATCCAGTTAGTGATAGAATCCTAACTATCAGACTTAAAGGCTGTCCAAAAAACATAACTTTCATGCAGGTATATGCACCAACTTCGACAGCAGAGGAGGGCGAAATTGAAGATTTTTATGCCATACTGCAAGACACATTAAATAAAATTAATCAGAATGATATAATAATAATAATGGGAGATTTTAATGCTAAAGTAGGTACAGGCAGAGCTGAAAATGAGAGACACGTTTTAGGAAAATTTGGATTGGGTAATAGAAATGAAACAGGAGAAAAATTGATTGAATTTTGCATAGAAAATGAATTAACAATAGCTAACACACTTTATAAACAACACCCTAGAAGGCTTTTCACATGGACATCCCCTGACGGTGTTACCAAAAATCAGATAGATTACATTGTAATACAAAGAAGATGGAGATCGAGCATAACATCTGCAAAAACCCTGCGAAGTGCAGATTGCGATACAGATCATCAGTTACTAGAAGCAGATCTGAAAATAAAACTCAAAAAGCTTACCCGAGGACCAAGGCTATTTCGATTTGATCTCACAAAAATACCAGATGCATACAACGTAGAAGTGAAGAACCGTTTTGAGGTCTTGATGTCTGTACAAGAGGAAATGACACCTGATGAAACTGGCGGTTACAAGCTAGGGATATCTGATAACAGCAGACTAAAGACTTAATACCCACCAGGACTAAGCAACATAAACCATGGATCACACCATACACGTTAGAACTAATAAAACAACGAAGGGAACTGAAAAAGAAAGGAGAAACCAATGACAGTAGGATGAAGTATAAATCTTTAACACGAGAAATAAGAAAGTACACAAGAAAGGATAAAAATCAGTATGTACAAGATTGCTGTATTAAAATAGAGCAGCATCATAAAAATTGAAGAGATTACGAAATGTTCAAGGATATGAAGTTATTGACAAGAAATTTTCAACCTCAGTTAAATGTTATTTGTGACAAGTTGGGAAATACTTTAACAGAATCTAGACAAATTCTAGGAAGATGGCAGGAATACTGCAGCGGAATGTATGATATGAATGACAGTGAGGATATGAATGATATACATGAACCAGTAACAGTAGAGGCAGAACCTGAACCTTCATTAGATGAAATTTCATGGGCAATAAGGAGCCTGAAAAATGTAAAATCACCTGGATGTGATGAGATACCAGCTGAATTGATTAAAGCGGGAGGAGAAGAAAGCATAAAAAATCTATCATGCATTATGTGAAAAGATATGGAAATATGGTATTTGGCCAAAAGACTGGAAGAGAACTATCTTCATTCCAATACCAAAAAAGGGTGACCTGAAATTATGTACAAACTATCGAACTATTGCCCTGATCAGTCATGCAAGTAAAATTCTACTAAAAATTATAATGAGAAGACTGCATAAGAAAATGGAAGAAGAGATTAATGTAGCTCAGCTGGATTTAGACAGGGAAGAGGAACAAGAGATCATATATTCAACATGCGTTTAATAATAGAGAAGTGTAGAGAATTAATGTAAATCTGTTCTTATGTTTTGTGGATTATTCAAAAGCATTTGACTGTGTACAACATCAGAAGCTTTTGGGAAATCATGAGGAATATGGGCTTTCCATCACATATAGGTACAGCTCATTAAAATGCTCTATCAAGACCAACAAGCAGCAGTCAGAATAGATGGAGAGACATCAGACTGGTTTTGCATCAAGCAAGGAGGTCGTCAGGGATGTGTGCTGTCACCGTATTTGTTCAACCTGTACGCCGAAAATATAATGAGAAATGTAAGAGATGATATAAACAAGGAAACAATATGATGCCCTAAACATCGGTGGTCATGAAATACCAGAAATTCGTTATGCTGATGATACAGTATTACTATCAACATCACAAAATGGTTTAGAAAAACTTATTAACCTCACTCCAAAGAAATAGTGAAAATCATAACTTATTTCTTAACATAGCAAAAACAAAGATAATGCATACAAACAAAACTGCCATGGAGAAGGAAATATATGTTAATGAGAAAGATTGGAAGTGGTGGAAAATTTCGAATATCTTGGGTCACTGGTTACCAACAATGGGGACACAATGAAAGAAATTAAACGGCGACTATCAATTGCTCTCTTCAAAGACTAAAACAACTGAATAGATTATGGAATTGTACAGATAGAATTACAAAGGTCAGATTTTTAAGAGCATGCATCTTTCCCATTGCAACATACGCCTGTGAGACCTGGACACTTACTAAACAAGCGGAAAAGCGCATAAATGCATTTGAATATAAATGTTACAGACAGGTTCTAAGAATATCTGGGTAAAGAAAAGAAACAAATGCATCCATACTTCAAGAGCTGAATATTGAAGAGGGTTGGCTAGTAAAGACATAAAACAAAGAAAATTGAAATATTTTGGTCACTTGAAACGTCATGGAAGTCTAGAGAGAACAATAATGGAGGGGTATATGCCTGGGAAGAGAGGAAGAGGAAGGCCAAGGAGAAGATGGGTGCAGGATGTGGCAGATGATCTCCAGATGGGTGTATCAGACGCAGGACATCTTGCTCATGATAGGAAGGTTTTCCGGAGGGTTGTTATGGCAGCGAGGTTCCGCGAGGGACATGCTACTGAATGAATGAATGAAAGAATAAATGAATGAATGAATAAGTGAAAAAGGCGGAAAAGAAGAAAAACAGTTCGACGCATCATCATCAGTAGTAGTAGTGGTAGTAATAGTAGTAGCAGTATTAGTTGTTGTAGTAATAGAAGTAGTAGTAGTACTAGTAGTAGTAGTAATTGTAATAGTAATAGTAGTAGCAGTAGTATTAGTTGTAGTAGTAGAAGTATTAGTAGTACTACTAGTAGTAGTAAAAGTAGTAGTAGTAGTAGTAGCATTAGTAGTAGCAGTAGTAGTAGTAGTTGTAGTAGAAGTAGTAGTAGTTGTATTATTATTATTATTATTATTATTATTATTATTATTATTAGTAGTAGCAGTAGTAGTAATAGTAGTAGTAGTAGTAGTAGTAGTAGTAGTAGTAGTAGTAGTAGTAGTAGTAGTAGTAGTAGTAGTAGTAGTAGTAGTAGTAGTAGTAGTAGTAGTAGTAGTAGTAGTAGTAGTAGTAGTAGTAGTAGTAGTAGTAGTAGCAGCAGCAGCAGCAGCAGTAGTAGTAGAAGTAGTAGTAGTAGTAGTAGTAGTAGTAGTAGTAGTAGTAGTAGTAGTAGTAGTAGTAGTAGTAGTAGTAGTAGTAGTAGTAGTAGTAGTAGTAGTAATACTAGTAGTGGTAGTGGTAGTTATCTTACGCCAAAGTCAAGGAAGAACTGCAGTTTGCATACTAATTTATCATAGCAAATCCCGAATACCCCATTCAACCTCCCGAGAATGTATATAGAACAGTTATAACAGCCACACCAGTATTCCCACTGATGTATAACCCTGGTGTCATGGGGTTAAGGAATGACTTTATGTAGGGAATGACATTATGTACAACCTCTTACCATGGATGTTGTAATTGTTAATGTCCATACCTCTGACGCCCTGGTCGTCTCCTTGTGTACTGCAATTTTTCGTTATTTGAAGCCACACCTAGCTTTTTCCGGGGGCCCTGCATATACAGGGGTCACAATTATGGCCATAACTACTCAAAGGGGTTTCCGGGACCTCCCCACGGGTGATTCTCATCCACATGGCGGCACTTTGTGTCACCAGGTGTTTATCGCTTGTGTCATGTCCTGGTGGGGTACAACGAGCAAGCAAGCTTCTCTTGAGCCATTGGTTCTCAAACTTCCTAATGCCGCGACTCGTTAATACAGTTCCTCGCGTTGTGTCGACCCTTCAGTACAGTTCCTCACGTTGTGTCGACCCTTCAGTACAGTTCCTTATGTTGTTGCCACTACCATCCATACAATTATTTTCGTCGATACTGCATAATTTCAATGAATATTTGTTTGGCGATGGTCTTAAGCGACCTCTGAGAGAAAATCGTTCGACCCACACACACAACAAAGGGGGTCGCGACCCATAGGTTGAAAACCGCTGTCTTAAGCAGTTTATGCACATGCGAGCTGTCTGCTAGCGTCACAGCAGTAGCGTAATAGCTAGACACCCGCCTCCTGGTCCTAAGATCGTAGGCAAGCTTTTGTTTTCTCAAAATTGGCATTGGCCCCTAGGTCGACCCAGCCTAAAATGGGCACTTGGCAATGTTCTTGGAAGAAAAGGCGACGGGCGTGATGTTGACTACATCCCCTCCCTTATATCAGGTCGTGTTTATAAATATTAATCTAGCGTAGCATGCCTGATGCTTTACTGACATAAAAACAGTTCTTTACCTTATATTTTACTATATAACCTTTCACACTGGATAGTATAGTACAGTGATTTCCAAACTTTTATGTCAAGATTTTTGTCTCGAGCAGAGTAGCAAGCTTCACTGGAAAGATCACAGGTAGTAACCATGCATTGGATCTTTTCACCAGGCCATATCGGCGTGGTGGGGAATAAACAGGCAGACAGATAGGCTGGATCTGCGCCACAGGGTGCTGAATTTATACATTAAAGACAGATGTGGTCAGGACCCTTTGGAAACAAGCAACAGAGATTATTACGGTGGGGGGGGGGGGAGAGACCTAATATTGTCAAATATACGTATATGGGTATTTTCCCCCTTTTTTTTTCTTTTATTTGTCACATATTTTCTTTTTTATTGTTGACATTTATTTCTCCTTTTTCCATTTTCTTGTGCACAGTTTGTGGCGCACCCGCAGTGCCAAGCCCAGATAGGAGAGATGTGGTACAGTGGGGTGCCCTTTCTGAGGTACCTCAACCGCTTTGCTTACCTGGTGTTGGCCATCCCCATTGGCCTGGTCTGCTGTCCGATTCTCTCCATGATTTATCTCATCTCCCCGTGGTCCAAGGTGAGTTTTGTAAAGCAGGGTTTCCATACTGTGTGTCGACTGTACTGTGAAAATGTGTCGCGAAAACGTAAAGCTTTACAGTGTATTTGTGTGGTTCTATATCGTGTAAAGGGTTAGCAGGAGCTGCGTGGTCTCAGGGCATGGCGTCCGCCTCACGTGCTGGAGGTCCCGTGTTCCTGCCTCGGTAAAGGCTGGGATTTTTCTCGCGTGGACTTATAGTAATTTAATTTACTTCGGTTTCCAGGTAGTAAGGTCAGACGTCCATGTGTTGCGCACGAAAAAAATCTCTTGTCTGTTGAAAATCAAAAAAGATTAGCCTAACGGCGCTTCATGGGCAAAATTTTGAGTTCAAAATCTACCCAAAGTATTTCAGGATCCTCGCCGCTGCTACGGAGTTCGTGCACTGGGCGGCGCTCTCGGCAGGCGGCTAGCCGTTCTACATAGACCGACTTATATGGGATTAAAACACGGTGCAATTACGTCGATCCTTTCGAATTTAACCTTAACTTTATATAGGGGTGGACAGTTCTGTTGATTGATCGCTCTGTCTAATCTAATCTATCTGTCTGTCTGCCTACCTAAATACCTGTCAGTATTTATATACAAATGTGTGTGTGTGTGTGCGTGCGTGCGTGCGTGCGTGTATGTGTGTGTGTGTGTGGTGTGTGTGTGGTGTGTGTGTGTGTGTGGTGTGCGTGTGGTGTGCGTGTGTGCGTGTGTGTGTGTTAAGTAAGTCAACATGTGGATGTGTGGTAATATATTTGTATTATATATAAACTGAAGCAATTAACATCTGAAAACCCTCATTTCCCAGGTGTCGCGGATCGTCAACACGCCACTGATGAAGTTCCTGTCTTACACCTGCTCCTACCTGACCTTTCTAATTCTAACGATCGTGGTCAAGCTGTACCTGCGCCACGACATCGACACGTTCACCTGTGACAAGCCGGAGACATTCGCATACATCGTCATCATCATCATCTTCATGTGGATATTCGGTGAGTCGTCGTCTTACTTGGCACTTCTTTCGTTGATGTTTCCTTTTTTCTTTCTTTCTTTCCTTCCTTCCTTCTTTCTTTCTTTCTTTCTTTTTTTTTTTTCTTTCTTTCTTTCTTTCTTTCTTTCTTTCTTTCTTTCTTTCTTTCTTTCTTTCTTTCTTTCTTTCTTTCTTTCTTTCTTTCTTTCTTTCTTTCTTTCTTTCTTTCTTTCTTTCTTTCTTTCTTTCTTTCTTTCTTTCTTTCTTTCTTTCTTTCTTTCTTTCTTTCTTTCTTTCTTTCTTTCTTTCTTTCTTTCTTGTTTTCTTTCAGTCTGTCTGCTTGTCGATTGCTTACCTTCCTGCACCTTTATTATTTTTTTTTCTCTTTTTATTGTTTTCCTATTTATTTATTAATTCTGTTTACCGCCTCTTTTACCGCCTGGACCATAAATAAATTGTACTGTTAAACGACTCTTTAATGTTATTTTCTTCTGCTTCTTCATCTTCTACGTCATTTATCCTTTTTCTGCACTATATCCATATACTATCAGTCTGTCTGCTGGTTGTCTTACTTCAGCAAATGTTTGTGTGCATATAAGCGTGTAAGATGAATGAATGGACATTCATACATTCATGCATACATACATACATACCTACCTACCTACCTACCTACCTACCTACCTACCTACCTACCTACCTACCTACCTACCTACCTGCCACATATCGCTCCTGTCGTGTGCCTGATTTAAGGATTTCTCCTTAAGAACCAACAGCACTCTGAAATAATTTTGTTAAGTCGTTGGCTCGTATTGGTCTAAGGGATGCCCCGTGGCCAATATTCGCTCAACTTATTTCAGGAGTAGGGCAACTCAAGTTTTGGCACTACAAAATATATAATATTCCTAGGCACGCTTGGCTGGACACCCCCACTACTATAAAAAGGAAGCTCCCAGGTTATAATAGTATACTATCAAAGCCATTTTAACACAGATAACACTTATTACTCACACAAACATCAAAGCTAGACAGTTAGAATGGTGAAATAGGGACACCCAAGTCAGCCATGAAAATTTATGCATGTAATCAGTACAATATATGCATATAATAAGGAATAGATTCTCAAAAATGTTTAGTTAATGGAGTTCAGGAATCAATGACACAACCCAGATATTGAAGCAGCCAGATATTGTTCCATGCGAGTAAATGAGTTCATCATCGGACTGATAAGGTGCTGTGGGAAGAGAGCATGTAATGTGAATAAAAGATCACTTAGCCCAGTTCGTAGGTCAATGCTCCCCTCAGTCCACGGTGATTCGACTGTAGTTGACTCAATCAGTAGTTGGGCCTCGACTTGATCTGGTACAAGCTGACTGTCACAAACAAGGACACAAGAACTGCATAGGAGCCCACCAAAGCTCTTGGAGACTGTGATGCCTGCTCCCGGTCTCATAGGTAATGACACAATAAATGCATACGAGCCCAACAAAGCTCTTGAAGACTGGTTCTCTGGATTGATGACATAGGTGTCTGCAATTGTCCACTGGTCCTGGAACTCACAAACAAGCTCTTGCCATGTTGAGGTAGTGGCACAGTGTACAGAACTTTTGGATCTGCTTGGTGCACAGAATGGTATAGGTTGGTGGTTGTTGGCTGGACTGTGATTCGTCTGCCTGATCTCTAAGGAGGTATCATCCTGTCAGGAAAGAACTCAGAATTAGTAATCAGCCTTATTCACACACCAGCTCTCTCCTACCTCTGCCACCTTTCTCCATTGCCCAGAGTGTAACTCTCAAGAACAGGAGACAATGTCTCCTTTCATTTATCTGTCTGTAGAATAGTGCAACAGATAGAAAACAAGATATATAGTGGAGATAGATAGACACTACCACACATAGATCATCCTCTCTCCACCCTCACATCTGCACTCGCAGACATGCAATGTTTACATTTAGTACCTATATATATATTCCGTCTCCACAGGCCGTTCACTACACACCCACTGAATCTGTGTCAAACACACCTTTGACTCAGAGCGCCTAGCCCTAACGGCACATTATTTCACTTAGATTCCTTATTTCTGTTATGCGGCACAAAGCTTCGTTTGGCTGGTCAGAGAATAATTACTTGTAGGGTTTAATATCTTTACAAATGGTGTGGGTTATGTAGAGCACCACTAATTAGTCTGTACAGGGGAAGGTCTAATGTTCGGAGCTTGATCTCTGGACATCAAGAACGGTCGAACTATGTGCGATCACACAGCTGACTCTGCCCTCTCTGCAGCAGTGGCCAACCTTAAAAAGACATCAATTATGGTACTCGTAAACTATAATCAACTTACCCAAGCTTAGGAAATCTTCCAAGATAAAAATGGAACTATGAATGCGCCAATTTCTAACATAGACTGTATACACGTCTTGACACTTTGGTATCAGGCGAAAGAATGTTTTTTTTTTTTTCAAAATCAAACATAGCGTCTCTAGGAAAAAAGTCCCCTGTATTCCTGCCCAAGGAGTAAACCGGTTTACAGGAATTTCTAAATAAATTACCAGAAATCGTCAACCTACAGTTGCAAGTTTGAAAATGAAGATTTATCAAAGCAACTAGAGGGTCTAGAAATGAATATATCAGCAGATAAAGGTATATATATATCAATATAAGGGACTATATACCCTTCCGGACGGGTTTAACGTTTAAAATTTGACTGAGCGCAAGGGAAGTCAGAGTCACGACACGTCCATTGCGTAGGGTTGGCTGCTCACCTCACGACACTACCCACCTTCCTTCCTTCCTACTTACCTACCTGTCTGCTTGGCTTCCTGCCTACACACACACACACACACACACACACACACACACACACACACACAATAATGCATACATACATACAGACCGACGGAGAGGGCCGACAGACCGAAGCCAGCCAGCCAGCCAGACAGACCAGACAGATAGACAGATCACTGCATGCTCTAATAATCCTCTGTGACAACGATCAGGTTTCATCTTCGAGGAGTGCAAGCAGATATTTGCTGCTGGAGCCAGAGACTACTTCGCCTCCTTCTGGAACATCATCGACAGTCTGATGCTGAGCTTCCTCTTGGCCTCCTTTCGTCCTGGAGCTGGTGACACCCTTCAGGCTCTATGAGGTTCGACCAGGTGCTTTATTGCTTTTTGTTGTCTAAGTGTTTATCGACAGTGTCAGTTCCAGGGAAGACATGCTGTTAAAGGGCTGTTTAGAACCTGTGTTCATATGAGGTTTCAACAACGGGCCAATATCATGGCACACGGGTAGTAAGCCATAAGTGCTCCATGCTTCTTCTAACTCAAGTATGAGTAGTAAGAAGCTCAGTACAGTGCACAGGCTCTGTAGCACCGGCGATGATCCTGAAATACGTTGTGTAGATTTTAAACTCGCAATTTTACACGTGCAGCGCCCGTAGGCTACTTTTTAAAATTTTCAACTGCCAAGGGATACGCGCGCAACAGTACACACAGGCATCCGTTCTTACCACCCAGGGATCAGGAGAAATCCCAGCTCTCACCGGGGCTTGAACCCAGGACCTCTAGCACTCGAGGTGGACACGAAGACCACGAAGCCCACCTTCTAGAACAAAACTTACGTACAGAAGTTGCAGGACAACCAGCAGTTTTTGTTGGTGAGCGCGAAGAAGAAGAAAAAGAAGTCATTCTTCAATGTATGTCGTAAGGGGTAACTAATTAGGAGTTAGATAAAATCGGATGAGTTCGGTCGAAAGGCACAGATATCGCAGCTCAGCTGTTCTCTATAGTGTAACGTACCAATCATTCTTTAACGGGTGAAGAAGAGGATGATTATGATTAATTCATTCTTCGTTTGAGTTTTCCCCCCTAGTACAAATAAAGGGACTAAATCAAGAATGTCTTCCACCTTCCTGCTAATTTAGAATTTATTATTTCCCCTTTAATAATTTTGATTGGATTGGATTTTTTACCCCACCAGGACATCACACAAGCGATAAACACCCGGTGACACAAAGTGCCACCATGCGGATGAGGATCACCGTGGAGAGGTCCCAGAAACCGCGTTCAGACATTTGGCCATAATGATGACCTGCCTATATTGCGGCCCCTGGCAAAAGCCAGAGTGGGACTTCAAACAACAAAAAATAACGTCCTAAGAAGGACGAAATATAATCTTCAGTAACAGCCCCTTTAATGCCTGGGACCAATCGGGCATATTGTAGAGCTATATTTTTTAATAGATCAGTCAGTTGAATAGCTAACTAGTCATCCTCCATGTTACTTTTGGCCATTATTTAAACACAATGTAAGACATAGCAAACGCCTTAACATATTGCAAATCTCTAAACCTAAAAAAGGCCTATACAAAACAAGCTTAGCGTACTCTGCAGCTCAGCTGTGGAATAATCTTCCACTGGAAATAAAAAATTTCAATAACCCCTACAGATACAATCGGAAACTATTCGAATATTATCTCACTACAGACTATATGCCCCCTTAAAAGATTACAGTATGTTAAGGCTATGATGTATTTCCATGAGATGTCTTAATAATTTTTTTTTTTAAAGGGGGTGAAAATGGGGAAAGAGGGGGGGGGGGGGGGGAGAAGAGGTTTAAAACTGAAGGTTATTATTGTTTGAAACTGAAGATGCCAGTCAAAAACATTCCAATGTTTGCAACTAATATTTAAATGGTTTTGATGATGTTTATATTATGCAACCTTTCAGACTTACATCATTTTTGGAATATGCTTATTATTATACTTTTTAAATTAGAGCACATTCCAGCACGTGTAATTAAGACTTAGATATTGTGACCCCCCCCCCCCCCCCCCCCCCGCCTTTTTTTTTTACTTTTCTATATTTCTTACATTTTTAATTTTGCATTCCTCTTTTTATTATTATTATGTTTATTATTATGATTAATATTATTATTAATATTATTATTAATATTATTGTTATTATTATTAACTATGAAATGAGGTACACATGAAAAATTTTATGAAAGGATCGGAGTGGAAGGGCAAAATGTTAGACGGGCCTGCGTGCCCAATTCTTACCCTTTGAAAATAAAGTTTGTTCGTTCGTTCGTTCGTTCGTTCCTCTTGTGGGATTCAATTTTTCGTTATTTTGAAGCTCCACCCTGGCTCTAACCAGGGGCCGCAAATTAGCCCGGCCATAAATATCGTTTAATGGCTGAACGCGGTTTGCGGGACCTCTCCGCAGGTGATCCTGATCCACATGGTAGCCTTTTGTGTAAAAGGGTGTTTATCGCTTGTGTGTTGTCCTAGTGGACTACTGCTACTAGTTGAATTCATTACGTGTTCAGCAATAAACTTTCAAGGACTTTGTCCGGTGCCAGGTCGACCTGAAGGCCCAAGTCTGTTATTCAGATTCCGTGTTGACACGATGTCGAACCCAAGGCGGTCAAGATCTTTACCTTGGTACTCTGATTTCTCGAATGTTCATAGGACCCTCCACACTGGTCCACAATTTAGTTCGTGCCCATTTCGTGGTGCCACAATGTAACTGTCGTCTCATCATCATTGTCGTGTGGAATCAGTTCAATATCATATCATGCAAGGAATCAACACCATCACATTTAGCCTCTCCCAACAACGTCGTTTTAGGGGTTGCTTCTGGGCGTCCTCGCCTTCTCGGTGCCTTTATTTTCTATGTTAGCGTCTGCCTGGTGATTCCCCTCACGTTTCCTTTCAGGATGTGTCCACTAGAGCGCCAACACCTTTGGATGATGACAGTTGCTGGGGGGGGGGGGGGGGGCTGGGTGGTCTCGAGGTATGGTGCCCCCCTCGAGTGCTGGGGGTCCCGGGTTCAAGCCTCGGTGAAGTTCTAGTAATTTATTCTGGTCTCTGAGTAGTAAGATCGGACGCCCGTCTTTCTTCTTACGCACAAAGAAAAATCCCTTGGCAGATGGAAATCGAAAAGAGTAGCTAAAGTCTACCGAAAGTATTTCAGGATCCTAGCCGTTGCATCGAAGTTCTTGCACTGTCCTGAGATTTTTTTAGACTCAAGCTTCAGTTAGAAGTAGATCGGAAAACTTATATGTTACACATGTGGTACCATGAATAAACATGAATCGCTTCCAGTGGTTGACCACACATTTCTCATATTTATTGACTTCTTTTGAACTCCATATTATATTCAACATTTCGTCAGGACGTTATTTGCAGCTGAATGTAACTTTAGTTCTTCTTCTGTCTTTCTAACCCCCAGTGGAGCATAGGCCCTCAACCAACTCACGCTAAGTCTTTCTGTCCTCTGCTACAGCATGCAGCTCTCCCCATGTCCTCCCCATCCTTTTAAATTCATTCTATAGCTCTCTTCTCCGTGTGTTTTTGGGTCATCCTTTATCCACGTGTCTCTGTGGGTTCCAGTGCACAGACATGGTTCTCTTCTTCCTCTGATAGCTCTTCTTTCTTTTGTGCAGTTCCTATATCCGTAGCTATTTGTTTTTGTCCCTGTTTGTTTTCATTTTCTTCTATAAACTTTAAGATACTCATAACTATCAGGCACAATATCATATTAAACTATTTTTGTCAGCATTATGCTAGTGTCAGGTATGTGTCTGTACTACAACTAATGAGGGAAAAAATCATAGCTAATATGAGTGAAAGAATAAATCAAGAATTTATGGGTTTGCATTGTGGACATTTCTATCCGTACTTTGTCCACCAGCCTCTTCAGTGCCTGACTATCCAGTGGTTACAATATCTTAACCCCAAGTGCCAGTCTTCTATTCTTCTGCTATCGCTTTCTGCTCTCCCAGTGGTTGCGCCCATCTTTATAATCACTTCTAACCCCAACTCCATGCCGAGTCGTTTTTCTTTTTCTCTTTCGCTTTCGCTTGCTGCTTTTCACTTTGTTCATGTTTTTTGTTTCTTGTCATGCTTGCTTTTATATCTACGCGCCTATGAGTTCTCCAAAATGTTTTTTGTGTGTGTCAGGTTTTCTGTGTGTGTGTGTTTTACCCAACGCCAGCGTTTTTTCCTCACCGCTTGGTCCACTGGAACTTGTTTAGTTCTCTCTCCCAAAGCTCTACATTAGTGATTCTGTCATACCATTTAATACCCTCTATTTTGCACAGGCACCAGTTAATGAATGTTTGTAGTTAACTAACTGCCTTAGTTGCTCTCAATGTTTCCGCCCCTTACTGTACCGATGTGACATTATAATTACAAATGTTCAGAGAAATAGTTTTAGAAATGTTTAGAAATAGTTTTAATTTATATTCTTGCTTTAAAAAAAAATTCTTTTGACCCTTACAAATTTCCCAGTGCTACGAAAGGTGCCAGTTACAAACTGAATAAAAAAAAATCTCCCTGTTTACTTTTTCCCTAAATATTAAAAAAAACCTTCCGTTTGCACTGTTGACGCCTAGCTGAATCAGAGGCTCGAGATATGGTCGCTGTGTCGATTCTCTGTATCTAAGATAATATGTCATAGAAGAGCTACTTGGGAAACAAGACAAGATCAATTTGTACAAATTAATGGAAGGCTAAGAAAAAAGCCAGTCATAATATTTATTACAATACCATAGATGAAATGCTTTTCCCATTTCACAAGTATGCTCTAGTGCAAACTACAACAAAAAGCAACCTGAAACAGTGTAGTGAGCACAGATCAGGGGCAGAGAAGTTAAAAAGCATTGACCTACGATATCAAGAACAACAAAAAGGAAGACAATGACGTAGAAAAAAAAAAGAAAAAGAAGAAGAAGAAGAAGAAGAAGAAGAAGAAGAAGAAGAAGAAGAAGAAGAAGAAGAAGAAGAAGAAAAAGAAAAAGAAAAAGAAAAAGAAAAAGAAAAAGAAGAAGAAGAAGAAGAAGAAAAGAAGAAAAAAGAAGAAAAGAAAAAGAAGAAAAGCAGAAAAGAAAAAGAAAAAGAAAAAGAAGAAGAAGAAGAAGAAGAAGAAGAAGAAGAAGAAGAAGAAGAAGAAGAAGAAGCAGATGAAAAAGAGACAACATTTTACAAAAGCATAGAAATGTATATCCACAAATATGTACCCTTACAAATTCCTCTTAATATTCTAATGTCTAACCTTCCTTGTACAGTCTTAACCTGTAACATCTCACCCGTCACTTCCTCGCCAGACCATGAACGGTGAGATTCTCATCCCACAAGCTGAGCTCCAGAAAGAGCAGCATCACTACTACCCGACCACCAACATCTCCAACATCTTCACCCTCCACATACCATCAGGACCAAGAACCACGCCCATTCCCACAACATCATCTCAGATCTGTTTACAAGCCAGGCAAATGGCCAAACTGCCCTTCAATAAGTTTTGCCGTTCCACACACCTGGACAGGGTGCAAGGTAAGGTGACTGATCCCTAAGTTAAACGACGCAGTGATTCTCATTTCATCTCTTCTTATATCATCCTAATTCATCTCAGCTCTTATCTTATCGCACTTCATCTCATCTTGTCTTATCTGATTCCATTTCATCTCATCTAATTTCATCTAATCTCTTTTTGACCTCATCCCATCTCATTTCTTCTTATCTGATCCCATTTCATTTCATCTCTTCTTATTTCATCCCATCTTATATCTTCTCTTCTCTTCTCTTTGCTTCCCATCTCGTCTCATTCGTGCGTGGAAATAGGACATCCAAGAGAAACCTTTTGGCGAACGTTGATGAGAGAAGCCAAAAGTGTTGGAGTGGATTCCGTCTATGATTTCGATGTGACTGCACATAATAGAATTGAAAGGAGAATTCCCGTTTGGGTTCTGGGACCCCATTGTGGGGAAACCATGAAGAGACCCACCGCCTCTTCAACAAACATGTCGTAAGAGTCGACTAATTGGGGGCTTTCTTTGAAGACAGAGTGCATCTGCCTGAGAGTCAATGGACTAGCAGTCAGCATACCCATTAACCAGATCTGTAAAACGAATGTACATGCAAAACTCATGATCTGAAACAAGTCTAACGTCCAAAGGTGGATGAATTACCAGAACTTTCAGCCAACTTTCTGAAGGAGAAGAATAGAGAAGTGAACGGAGAGCCCTGTGTGACAATGCATGAAAAACAAGGTACCGTCCCAGCAGTTAAGGTTGGCAGCAATGGATCTCCAACCGGCTTTGTTTCTTGCCTTGGATGTACATTCTCTATGACTGGTCTTCGTATGTCTTTTGATTAATCGTCCTATTTGTATCTTTTCTGTCTGTTTTTTTTGTTTGCCTTCACTGTTTTTTTTTTCCGTATGGTTTCTAAAGAGTGTTATGTTTTCTATGTAGCCGAAATGTTTCACTTGTATCTTTTTAATTTCTTTAACCAACACTCATTGCATTCCCACTTACTTCAGTATGTCTGTATTTGAGTGTTCTAGCGGAGTAATCTTCAAACAACAACAAAAGTGAAGACAACTAGGATTCAATGCAGTCATATAATTCATTACAAGCAAAAAGAAATGGGTTGTTTCTTCTGAAGGCATTGAGAATAACTAAGTGAAATTAAGACAGTGAGCAAGAAAGAGTACAACGATTATATTTTCACCTCCCCAAATCATTTTGCTGGAACCGGACAAAGGAGGAGGAGGAAAAAAAAGAAGAAGCAGCAACAGCATTTGCAGCAGGAGCAGAAGCAGAAGCGAGTCAAATTTAACCGATCACAAAGTAACAATTTTTCAAACAATAAAAGTTCCAAATAAAAAAAAAAAAGAAAAAACAATAACCATTCACATAATATAACCATCCCCAAAGACCATTCCCACACAAATTACCCCCTCCTGCCAATAATTCTGCAAACAATGACTGTTCCAAGATAATAACCTTCCCCAAGGAATATCCTTTTGCCCAAGAACAGCCATTGCCAGTAAAAAAAAATACCATTCCTCCAAATCTAAACAGCTATAAGACAGTAAACATTTCCAAAAAAAAAATAAAAATAATAATCATTCACAAATAATAACCCCCTCCCCCCCCCCCCCCCGGCCCTTCCTTCTTTAAAAATAAATGTAAAATAATATGCCACCCCCCCCCCCCTTTCCTGGCCAGCCGGTTTTTTCATACCGTTTAAAAAGTTTCCAAAAGTTGACATTTACAAATTAGTAATTAAAAAGTAAACATAACACTTACATATGAATAATCACTTCCAAACTGTAACTATACTTAAACAAAACCAATTTCTACACAACACACGCACATACACGCTCTCTCTCTCTCTCTCTCTCTCTCTCTCTCTCTCTCTCTCTCTCTCTGTTTCTCTCTCTCTCTCTCTCTCTCTCTCTCATACACACACACACACACACAATTCCGTGAATAACTCTTCCGTATATAACCACAGATACATATAATCTGTGTATTGTTACCTGCAGTTGTCTGGGACCCAGATTGGGTACCTGACCCAGAACTCCTGTCTGACGTCTTGTTCAGCCTGGGCATTATCTTCAGCATTAGCAGGTTCTCGTTCATCATGCCGGCCAACGAAGCCCTGGGAACCATGCTTGTCTCGTTCAGGTAAAGCGACAGCCATCCTGCTTCTTCCATGCTAAATCCATTGCTTTTCAAACACGTATACGACCCCAATTAGGAGTCACCGTGGCAGAGCGACTAGACGCTCGCCTGCAAATAGGAAGGTCGTGTGTGGGGAGCATTTCTCAAAAATGACCTTGACTTCCAGGTCGACCCAGCCTCGAGTGGGTACCCAGTGCAGTCTAGGGAAGTAAAGGCAACCGGCGTGATCATCACCCTTCTTGCGCTGATTGGTCTATAAAACTATCAGTCTAGCCCTATACGCCTGAAGGCGGGGAGAACGGTCCTTCACTTACTTTACTACTTACATACGCCCCTTTTACATCAATAGTGCATACTGGCAACAGACAGGGCACTACAGAGATCAACGTTGTACAGATACAGCGGTAACAGAGCCAGAGGTCGACCATGCAGACATAGATCACAGAAAGATGAGAGACACTTAAAAGAACTATATACGAAGCGAACAAAATGGTCCGTTCTGATCTCTTGCTGCTCTGATGCTGCAAGGCATTACTGGAATAGAGAGTGTGGAATCGACATCATAGCACTCGGGACACTCCCATTAGCGCTCACTCGCAATCATCAGCAGCAGACGAAGAGCTCAGATGGTACCAGTAACTGTCTTATTGTACATCCTTCTCGCCTTTCCCTTGATAGTTGCTTCTTGAGAAACAGAGAAAAAGAGAAGAGCATAGCCTCACATGCTTTACAGTCTACTCATTACTCGATGGGTGATGTCCCCTGATTTGTTGTTGGTGAGTTATGAAACAGTGAAACAGTGTCAACATCCGCCAAATCTAATTGTATTTACCAGTTTAAATGCATATGCAATGCTGTATGTATGTGCAGAACAGATCGGCAACTGGAAAAACGGGTTGCTGAACATATTTTCTGTGGGTGGTACAAGCAGAACAAAACACCAGCAACAACAAATCAGGGGACTAGTTGAAAAAAATCCATCATTAGCAATTGCGTGCCATCTTCTAAATTCTGGGCACATGGTAAGCAAGGATGAGGCATCTTGAATTATTTACACGTCGGCCAACCGTAGATTACTGAGATATGCGGAAGCATCAGCTATCAGCCGGTTTAGTCCAGAACTATGCTGACAAAAGTAAATACTCATAACGTTGCGGATACCCTGGTAAAAGAGTGTGTGAATGTAATAGATTTTGTGTTTCAGCTGGAAGGATTCATTTCTTTGCTTCATTTATGTAACTGTTACTGTAAGTATGCACGTGACCAGATACAGCGAAATACGCCAGACAGTAAATTGTGTAATCTATTGTGTGTGTCTTCTTTGTTGAAATTCACAACACTGTTCACTACATTGCTTTGGTTATTAACAATATGTCAGTTTTATTGCCTGTATTAAAATTTGTGTTTTAACTGTGCTCCGTGAATGCTGTATCCATACTTTATCAATGGTTGATTGCCTATAACTTTTCTTTAATTTATTCACTTTTTGCCCCTTTTAGCATGATTTATTTACAATTGAAATATTTTTATTGCATACATCATCTAAGCAAAAAACAACAATAAAAAAAAAAAAAGATCACGATCTATCTCAGCCAATAATGTTCGAGTGTTTCCAGCGTTTTTCATCTACACATAGATATAAATGCACGATTTTTAAAAGACGGTATTTATTTATGTTTTGTCCATATATAGTGCATGTAAGATTAGTTTTCATCCAATAATTTTCCACAATTTCAGAATTGAAAAAAAAAAAAAATACAGGAAAGGGACGAGGTGAAGAAGGAGGAGGAAAGGAAGGAGGAGGATGGGTAGGAGGGAAGAGTAGAAGAAGAAGGAGAAGAGTAGGAGGAGGAGAAGAAGAAGAAGAAGAAGAACAAGAAACAGAAGAATCAGAATCAGCAGCAGCACCACCTCCACCACAGCCATTGCCACCACAACCACCACCATATAGTGATATGCTGTATATCTGTTAATGACTTAACTGTACCCTTTCTACAGGCGCACAGTTTCAGACATCGTAAAGATCTTCGGCATGTTCATCCTGGTCTTGATCGCTTTCACCTGTGGCATAGCAGCCCTGTATGCTCCCATCAGGTGTTACACTGGGCATTTTGACAGGTATTGTGTTAAATCCTCACAACCCTTTGTGTACGTTCCCAACCTATTTGTAAGCATCAACATAATCAGTCAGCAGGTACTTTATGGAGTTATGTTTCACTCTCTTCACGGCACGCATGAAAGTCTTTCTTTAGCAAAATCTCCAGCCCTATGTGCTTTTACAGCCAATGCATCTTCAAGGTCTTCTATCAGTTTTAGCAGAAGTCGACATCTGCTTCCTTTTTCCGGAAAAACTTTTTTACTTGCTTAAAAGAATGACTTGCAATTATCATTGTCGTGCAACTCAGCAAGAGGATTTTCTGCCAGATGCCAAATGACTTACGTCGCTTACGTCTTACCTCTTCATCTACTTCACAGTTGTTTCTAATTATCTTTCCTATGTATGTGTGGTCTTACGACAATTCTTTGGACCAAGTCAAAGATGCAAACTGCGGGGAAATGAGAGTGAGAAGCAACAAGGCAATTCGTAATCTGTTTTGATCACTGTTGATCACTGGCGTAACTGACTGAAGGCTGGGGCATATTGAGAGAATGTCAGTTGACAGAGAAGAAAAAAAAAATACACTCAGCTTAAGACTTGGTATCACAAACTGAAAACAGAAGGTCAATCAGAGTGATGAATGGAAGTCGGTGATGTGTGGAGCAATGAACCTCAAGGGCTCGGAATGCTGACTAAGAAGAATACAATTTATGTATGGGTCATCGCGTATTCATTTCTGCTGCCATATATCCACCAGGAGCATACCTAACTAATGTCCTTCCATGACAAGAATTATGAGACAAACTTATGTTTTTTTCTTTTCAGTTTTTCTTCCACGTTGTCAACCTTGACCTGGAGTATGTTTGGAATGGGGTCGGTGGATGTGCCCTCCCTGAAGAAAGATATGACAGGTCCAGTGTCTTCCCTCACCAACAACGTGGAACTGTGAGTAACTTGACTCTTTGAGTCCCAAGGAACTCATCATACGTTCACATGTTCCTACCTAAAAGACCAATGAACGCACAATGCGCCGATTTTATGACTCTATTTACTACCCCCTGGGCCTGTGATGCTAAACCACCTGGGACTCAAAGAGTTAGCCAACGCCCAGCTCAGTCTGCAATCTGCTTCTTTCTTTCTCTTGTCTCAATACTAATAGCCAGAAGCCTCAAGTAGAGGAGGTACATTTCTTTGGATGTTGCAAGTCAGCGAAGTGGTCAAGCCGATTACCACGCGGTCTGAAGATCACATGCTTGTTTCATATACACTTAATAAAAAGTTTCATGAAGATGCCTGCAAATCGTCACTGGAGCAATGACGTTCGTTCTTTGTGTGACGTTCTTGACAGGCGGCTAGCCGTTTAAGGAGAGAGGCCGAGCTACATGGGATAACCCAGTGCAACTCAGTCGATCCTCTCGACTTAAGTTTTAATTTTATTACAGGATGTGTGGCTTTTCTTCCCTCTCCATGATGAAGATTGGCTGGTACAGACACGCTTCTACTGCTTCATTGGGAGTCGCCGTGGCCTAACGGCTAGACGCTCGCGTGCGAATCGGAAGGTCGTGGGTTCGCTCCCTGGCACAGCCATACATTTATCAAAATTGACCTTGACTCCCAGGTCGACCCAGCCTTGAGGGAATACATGGTGCAGTCCCAGGAAGCAAAGGTCACCGGCATGATGATGACCCATTTTGTGCCGATTGGTGTATAAAAATATAGGTCTAGCCCTATATGCCCTATAGCCTAAAGGAGTGGAAAAGGGAAGTTTACTTACTTTTACTTTACTTCTTAATTTGAAAGATTTAAGCTTTGAAGTCAATGTTCTTGCCCTGTGTGCAGCTCCCATACTATTTATTGTCTCCGAAAGATGCAGACGTGACTTTAACACTGCAACATTTAACATGTTCAGTTTGCGTTGTGTAGTTGTGATGGTGATAGAGGTGGTGGTGGCGGAGGCGGTGGGGGCGGCGGCAGTGGCGGTGATGGAGTGAGTGAGTGAGTGAGGGAGTGAGGAAGAGAGTGAGTGGGAGAGAGAGTGAGTGAGTGAGTGAGTGAGAAAGTGAGTGAGTAAGTGTGAGTGAGTGAGTGTGTGGAGTGAGTGGAGTGAGTGAGTGACTGATGGAGCCTGCGTGTGTGAATGAGTGAGTGAGTTAGTGAGTGAGTGAGTTAGTGAGTGGAGTGAGTGGAGTGAGTGAGTGACTGATGGAGTCAGCGTGCGTGATTGAGTGAGTGAGTGAGTGAGTTAGTGAGTGAGTGGAGTGAGTGAGTGACTGATGGTGCCTGCGTGCGTGAGTGAGTGAGTGAGTTAGTGAGTTGAGTGAGTGAGTGAGTGGAGTGAGTGAGTGACTGGTGAAGCCTGCGTGCGTGAGTGAGTGAGTTAGTGATTGAGTGAGTTAGTGAGTGAGTGAGTGAGTGGAGTGAGTGAGTGACTGACGGAGCCTGCCTGCGTGAGTGAGTGAGTGAGTGAGTTAGTGAGTGAGTGAGTGAGTGAGTGAGTGAGTGTGAGTGAGTGAGTGTGAGTGATAGAGTGTAAGTGAGAGATTGGGAGTGAAAGAGTGTGAGTGAAAGAGTGTGAGTGAGAGAGTGTCAGTGAGAGAGTGTGAGTGAGAGAGGTCAGTGAGAGAGTGTGAGTGAGAAAGTGTGAGAGATTGTGAGAGATTGTGACTGAGTGTGAGGGAGTATTAGAGAGAGAGAGAGAGAGAGAGAGAGAGAGAGAGAGAGAGAGAGAGAGAGAGAGAGAGAGAGAGAGAGAGAGAGAGAGAGAGAGAGAGAGACTCTTGCAACCCTCTATGTCCTTTGTCGCACTCTTGTCCAATATTTTGATGTTCTATAATGAAATATGTTCACACCGAAATATGTTGTTGATACTTTATGTGCAGATGCTCAAACAGTTCGATTCCTTGATGTTTGATCACATCGTTTTTTCCCCACGATTTCTCTTAGCAGTTCAAATTTTAACTCTATTTCTCAAATCATTGTGCCAAAGAATAGGATAATGGTAATTATGACGCAGTGACCAACTGTCAAAATAAATGGGATATATCGTCCAAAGGAAAAATTTATCGCTGTTCTGCTGTAACAACTCCAGCACGTCTAAACCAAAGAAAACCCCTGGCAAATAAAGAAGAAGAAGTAGGAAGAGAAAGATCAGAAAATTAAGGAGAAGAAAGTAAGATAGACAAAAAAATAAATTTGGAAGAAAAGACAAAATAGTATTGGAGGAATTCAAAATGTGTTAGTTATGTATTGTGGATAATATCTGTCATTCTGTTTGCGTTCATTCGTTGATGCATTTATTCATTCATTCGTTAAAAAAAAATTCAGGTTCTCCTGATTCTGTAAATCATCTACAAATTCCATCATCAATTCACGGAATGATTCATTCATTTATATAATACACTGTTCACTAATTAATTCAGTAATTGGGATTTATTTTATTGTTTCACAAAAAGATTTACTGAGTAGTGCTTGCATTCACTGCTCACCCGTTCACTCATACATTCACTTCGATTTCCAGTCAAAATGGACGCTAGGCACGGTCACTGTTCTGAGCCATGGCAAATTTTATTTTTTCTTCTGCCAGACGGTGGCCGGTGCATTTTTGCTCCATTTGTAGACTGAAAGAATAGTTTCGTTGCCCAGCTTCTGAGTTAAGTGCATATCGTGACACTGTGAGCTGCTGATTTCATTTGGAATCTTTTTCTACTGTGACAAACGTGGTGGTGTGAATTGTAGATTCAGAAAATGGCACGATGCCTGTTGTCGCAATATTGATGGGGCCATTGTGTGATTTAAATTGATTGCGTGTGCAACTGCTGATCTGTTGGTGACTTCTGCTACCATCCATGATGAACTGCATTTCTAATTTTGGACTGTTTGTGTTAGCACTTCGGATGGCTACCGTGTGCTTTTAATGCGTTTGTATGCTAGTGCATATGCTGAGACAGCAGTTTGTCAATCTTTCCACAAGGGTACTGTTTAACATTTTGTGTGTTTTTATTTGGCACAGGAGCGGAGCAACTATGGGGTGACACTTTGCTATGAAGCTAAAGTTAAGATTACCAGATTACCATATTACTCATACATTCATTTATTTTTTGTGTGCATTCATCCGTGTTATCCAGCAGTAGTCACGTTCTCAGTAATTAAGGATACATAAATACAAATCTGGCCAAGACGGCGGCGTAAACAACGTTCGCCAAAAATTGTGACAAAAATATGTGTTTATTACTGGAAAGTATGTTAAATGTCTTAGCTTAGTGTAGGTGTTCAGTTGAAGATGAATTCCCGACCGGCCCAGCAAGTCGGCAGAGGATTCAGCGGCTCAAAAAGAAATTCCCGAGAAAAAATATAGGAGATGTTTTAGAAATAGGGAAAATTGAAGCAAGCAGAAGTTAAGAATATGGTAGAGACAACCAATATATATGGATGGTTTATAGAGCGAGTGGAAGACCTCGCAAAATATGGAGTGTTGACATAAAGAACAGCCTTACAGAAATGAACATCAGTCTTAATAGTGCTCTTGACAGAGCTCATCAGCAAATGTTCCTCTCCCCCTCCCCCTCCCCCACCCATCCCCCGACACTTCGTTGAGGTACAAGATGGAAAAGAAGAAAGAAGAAGAAGTACTGAAGAAGAAAGAAGAAGAAGAAGAAGAAGAAGAAGAAGAAGAAGAAGAAGAAGAAAGAGAAGAAGAAAAAGAAAAAAAGAAAAAAAAAGAAAAAGAAAAAGAAAAAGAAGAAGAAGAAGAAGAAGAAGAAGAAGACGAAGACGAAGACGAAGACGAAGAAGAAGAAGAAGAAGAAAAAGAAGAGGGAGAAGAAGAAGAAGAAACGATAAATAAAGGTTCTGTATGATGTATTTTAACCCCCCTATCATTCCAGGTCAAAGGGTGCAGCACAGGTGGGAAATTACCTGTATGGCATCTACGTGTTCTGTACAGCCGTTGTCATGCTCAACCTTCTCATCGCTGTCATGTCCAACACCTTCCAGGAAGTCCAGGTAATCACGTATGATGTTCCTGGTGCATTTTTTTTCTGATTTCTGTATTAAATTAGCTAAATTTCTTCCTCTTCTTCTTCTTCTTCGCGTTCACTGGCTGTAATTCCAGAGGAAAAGTTCTGGTTCTTCGTCCACTTTTGGTCTCTAGTTCTGTCCCAGAAACGTATTGTTGCGTGTACATCCGTTTCCTTATCCTGACTCATTTGCATGCAGACTGTTGGTTTCTCGCCTCTCATGAAGATGTACTACGACTTCGAAGGACGCTCATAATTAGTCGACACTTACGACATGCTTTTGGGCTGGCAGTAGGTCTAATCTAGTTTTCCCCACAATAGGGGCCCTTGAACCCACACGATGAGGTCAGCTAATGACACTGGCTCCCAGGCAGCCTTAGCCTTCAATGGGTCTCAGTTAAAGACCTGGGAAGTAAAAGCAGTCTGCGGGATGTTGAGCATATCAACCACCGAGTGCTGATTGGTATATAAAAGTGAAGGCGGCCGGCGTGACGCTGACTTCATCACCCATCATGTACCGACTAGCCTTTAACATGTAGGTCTAGCCCTGTGTGCTAAATGCGCCTGCAGGCGTGGAAAACGGTCCTTTACTTTACCTACCCACAAATGTGTTAATGGGTTCAGCGCCTTTGTCCACCCGGCTATGCTTAGAATCTCTCTTTTCAGGTATCTGTAATGCATTGTTTCTCATCACCCCCTCCCCTCCGCAGTATGGGGTTATATATATATTTATAATTCAGAACACTGTATAATTACACACTCAAACAAAGCTCGAACAAAACTCACCCTTACCAAATTGCCTGCTGTCTTCCTATTGTCTTTCTGTACTGACAATGCGATCGCCTCCTCCATAGTGTGTGTGTGTATGTGTGGTGTACGTGTTTTTATGTGTGGTGTGAGTGTATGTGTGTGTGTGCGGGTATGTATATACGTGTTTGTGTGTGTAGGCGTGCGTATGGTGTGAATGTGTTTATAAGTGTCTTTTTGTCCTGTTCACGTTTCGCAGCCCATCTACACACTGGCTGACTTTTTATTTATACTTTATAAGACTGTTCTACATTAGAGGGGTTTCACGTTGTCTTGCCTCCAATTACATTAGCGCCCATGTTGCATTATCTATACTACACAGTTTTTAACGTCCCCAGAACGTCTAGAACTGGCCCTAACCCATCCCCTCCCCTCTACCCACAGCCTGAGCCTAGGTCCCATGAGAGCTCTTTTCGAAAAAAAACGTTACAACGTAACAACCCCTCAGACCTGTACCAGACTGAGAAAGTATGTAGATGGGCCGGGAAACGTAAACAGTGTGTTTTGAATTTGGGGCCCAGTCGTATTTGACTCTGTCCTCTTGTGGTATTGCCGGCAGGACGAGCGAGACGTGGAGTGGAAGTTCATTAGAACCGAACTGTGGTTGAATTTCATCGAACCGGGGACACCCGTGCCGCCCCCTTTCAACATAGTCCCCAGCCCACGCCACCTGTGGCGGGCTATCATGTGGATGTGTCGGAGGTCGAAGTTCAGGCACTGTCTTCCGCACGGAGGGAAGAAGGTTCGATACGCCGCAGTCCAGGTAGAGTGCAACATGATGTGTTGTTATCAGTTGTCTTTATCTACGTCGTTTATCATCATCATCATCTTTTACCTTTTGTGAATATTATTAACTTCCGAAATACCATTCATAGCGGTCATTCTCATCATCAACACACGCTTTTTTCTTTACCACCATTAATATCCACCTAATAGCATTAGCAGTGTCGGTACAACTCCCTAAACTCACCCCATCTTGTTCGGCTTCGTGATTTCGTATTCGTTCCCACGGGCTGTCTTTTGTTCTTGTGTGTTTTGAACGTTTTAAGCACATCCACCATCGAATACAGCCACCGTCAACGAGCATAAAAATATGAAAACAGCTACGATTTCTATACTAAAAAAACCGTCACGCTTTCAGGCACTTTCTCCCTGCAGTACTTCTTGCTTGTACACAGGCGCCTGTGGCGCCTGAGCTACTAACAACACATTCGAGAACCGACAGTCGTTCATAGAAAACACATTTGCGAAAAGAGAGCTGCGCAGTTTCATCTGGCAGACAGTTTGTCTAACGCGTCAAAGAAACGCGAGCTATGTTTCTGCACGGTGTGTATAGACGGAGAAGAAAAGTTTTCCAAAAACAACCCTAGAACATAGGACAGAATAATGGAATTGTCACGAAATCTCGTACCCAAAGGATATGGGGTGACTTTAGTTATTAGTACCACAGTGTCATCATCACCACACTCTGTTATCTGTATATAAATATCAACTTAGATGCCAAGGGCAGTGCTACCATCATCATCTATTATCTTTACCCCCATTAATATCCACAGTGCTATCATCATGATGAAACTCCTTTTTTTTACCACCAGTAGAATGCACTTACATACCATTAGCAGTGTCATGAACGTCATCATACTCTTTTTTCTTTACCACCATTATTATCTACTTAATACCATTAGCGTTAATTGTTCTAATCTTTTACCTGAAACAGTATAAATGAGAGAAGTCGACTCAAATCCGGCATGTTCACTTTCTCTATTTATGCTGCCTCGGTATCGCCGTGGAACATTATGAGGCTTATTACCATTTAACTTATTTTTAGTAACTCTTTGTATAGGCGTTCAAAAACCACCGATTAAGAAGACTGGTGTTAGACAACACTAGTTGTTTTATATATATATATATTGGTATGTGAATATATACACATACATATATTTATATATATAAACACACACACACCCACACACACACACACAACATATCTATATATATATATATATATATATATATATATATATATATATATATATATATATATACACACACACACACAAACATACAGATATATTAAATAAAATATGGCGGGATTGAATTATAATCAGTTTCTTCTTTTTCTTCTTAGCCTTCGTTGGCTGTAAACTCCAGCAGAAAGTTCTGGTTGTTCATTCATTTCTGAACTTTGGTCCTGTTCCAGAACTTGATTTTGCATGCACAAACTTACTTGTCTGTAGAATGTCGATTCCATACCTCTCGGACAGATGCACACTCTTCGATAAACAACCCCTTAATTAGTCGTTTATTACGACTTGCTTATGGTTTGGGGAGGGGTGGGTGGGTCTATACTTTGTTCTCCCCCCCCCCCCAACTCCCCACCGCGCCTCTCCAGATGGGGTCTGTGAACACAGACGCGAATCGTCTTCGTCTCTGCGTCCTCTTTTACCGCTGCGGGTGTCGAGAGATAAATGGTTCTGTCTCGTGCCCTACTGGCTGCTGTCTCGAGGGAGATACAAGGTCATGTCTTGTGCCCTACTGGCTGCTGTCTCGAAGGAGATACAAGGTTCTGTCTCATGTCCTACTGGATGCTGTCTCGAGGGAGATACAAGGTCCTCTCTCGTGCCCTACTGGCTGCTGTCTCGAGGGAGATACAAGGTCCTGTCCCATGCCCTACTGGCTGCTGTCTCGAGGGAGATACAAGGTCCTGTCTCGTGCCCTACTAGCTGCTGTCTCGAGGGAGATACAAGGTCCTGTCTCGTGCCCTACTGGCTGCTGTGTAGATGGAGATACACGGTCATGTCTCGTGCCCCACTGGCTGCTGTCTAGAGGGAGATACAAAGTTCTGTCTCGTGCCCTACTGGCTGCTGTCTCGAAGGAGATACAAGGTCCTGTCTCGTGCCCCACTGGCTGCTGTCTCGAGGGAGATACAAGGTCCTGTCTCCTGCCATACTGGCTGCTGTCTCGAGGGAGATACAAGTTTCTTTCTCGTGCCCTACTGGCTGCTGTCTCGAGGGAGATACAAGGTCCTGTCTCGCGTCCTACTGGCTGCTGTCTTGAGGGAGATACCATGTCCTGTCTCGGGCCCTGCTAGCTGCTGTCTCGAGGGAGATACCATGTCCTGTCTCGTCCCTACTGACCGCTGTCTCGACCATAGACACATCGTGATGCTGTAGAGTTTTTCTGATGTTATCTTTCTATCTTGTTTTTGTTCTACCTCTTGCCTTGCGTCCCTCTCCTTTTTTTGGTAAGTGCCTTGTATGGTATAGCATCAGAAGGTATTCTCTCTTAGTGGGCAAACCATTTGTTTCATACGCGGAAAAACAATATACATTACACAGATAAGGACATAGATTACTGGGATTGACGTGTATCGATATTGGATTGACGTGTATATTATGAACGTGTAGACACATCGATACAAAAATAACTACAGACCTTTCATGTATTGCTTAATTTCTGGAATATAATTTTTGGTAATTCTGCAACCACCTTTTACCCGCATCAATTATCTCTTCGTATTTTACTTTGCATTCACCGGATATATACTTCTGCGGACAATTCTTGTTGCTTTTTCACTTCTGGACTGCACTCTTGTTGTAGAATTAGTTTTACATGCATATTTGTCTTACAGGTCTGGCTTAATTGTGTGCAGATTGTTGGTGTCTCGCCTCTCAGACATATGCACTACGGCTTCAAGGAAAACATCCCTAATCAGTCCACTTTTACGACATATATTTTATAGGGATATACCCCCCCCCCCCCCCCCCAACGGAGCCCGGAACCCATTCAGGAAAACGTAAATAATAATTTTTCAACATTTTTTTCCACTAACACTAGCAGCAATTCTGTGACTGTTGGCCGGGCTATTAATAGCCCTGGGCCCTCTTTCGGGGGGACCTAAGTTCAAAACATCTGTTGAATGTTGAATTAAGAATCGACTTCACATCACTTGGAACTCTCGCTTAAACGCTTTGCCCCCATCTTCAGCGTCAATCGAAGAGTTCTAATTTCGATGCCACCAGAAACTGTCTGATTGTACATCGGTCCCGCCTTTCCCTTGAATGTTGAGCGTCGGCCAGATCCGCTCATAATTTCTTGTAGGGCCATTCTCCTCAGACCGTAATAATCTGTTTGTGCCTTGGCACTGTTCATTCGATCCCAAAGGACCCACACCATATCTAGCTCGTCATACATCAGTTCACCACCAAGTGGCGCAGACCTGACCCGTCTATTTCCCGTCATACATCAGTTCACCACCAGGTGGCGCAGATCTGACCCGTCTATTTCCGTCATACATCAGTTCACCACCAGGTGGCGCAGACCTGACCCGTCTATTTCCCGTCATACATCAGTTCACCACTAAGTGGCGCAGACCTGACCCGTCTATTTCCTGTCATACATCAGTTCACCACCAGGTGGCGCAGACCTGACCCGTCTATTTCCCGTCATACATCAGTTCACCACTAAGTGGCGCAGACCTGACCAGTCTATTTCCCGTCATACATCAGTTCACCACCAGGTGGCGCAGACCTGACCCGTCTATTTCCCGTCATACATCAGTTCACCACCAGGTGGCGCAGACCTGACCAGTCTATTTCCTGTCATACATCAGTTCACCACCAGGTGGCGCAGACCTGACCCGTCTATTTCCCGTCATACATCAGTTCACCACTAAGTGGCGCAGACCTGACCAGTCTATTTCCCGTCATACATCAGTTCACCACCAGGTGGCGCAGACCTGACCCGTCTATTTCCCGTCATACATCAGTTCACCACCAGGTGGCGCAGACCTGACCAGTCTATGGGCCAGTTTCTTTCCCAACACACTGCTAAAACGAGGGTTACTTTTCAGTGATGGTTTTTAACTCTTTTAGAGTGCACTTTTTTTCCCCTCCGGGGTTCGGACATAATTCAATAATTCATTTTGAATAACTTTTTTTTTTTTTAACTGCAACATGAAAAAGTTATCACTTTCCTGAAAATAAAAATATGTCTCCTTTACAGTGACATACAGAAAAAAAAGCGAAATATGAATACACATAAATGGTAAATTATCGATGACTAATTAAGCCATATATCTGACATCCATTAACGGCAAGTCTTGAATACTTGATTGCGTCAGAAATTCACAGCTGATAGTATTGCCCTAATCACGTGGTGAACGCTGTACAAAGAGATAATGTGTTTATTCAGTTTCAAAACTACTACTAGCTGTTTCCCGCACACTGATTGAACACATCTTTATTTCACACCTCATTTTCTGAACATTGTTAAGTATAACTATTCAGTGTATATCTTTGTATAGTTTTAACTCTTTAGTGTCACTACTATATATTCTAATTGTATCCCCTTTTAAATATGAAATTAAAATGGTATTTCAGGAACGTGAATCCTATAGAGGTCGTAAAATAATTGTCGATTATGATAATATTGAGAAATGTTTTACGACGCTTTATGCTACACAGTATACAGCAAAGAGGAGAGGGACCCAAAGCATGAGGAAGACTAAGAACAAAATGGAAAAGGACATCAAGGAAATCCATAACTGCAGTGTGTGTCTGTGTTGTAAAAAAGATCTAAGGTGAAGAAGGCGAACAAAAAGAAGAAGAAAAGCAGAAGAAAAAGAAGAAAAAGAAGAAGAAGAAGAAGAAAAAGAAGGAAGAAGAAGAAGAACAAGAAGAAGAACAAGAACAGAAAGAAGAAGAAGGAAAAGAAGAAGAAGAAGAAGAAGAAGAAGAAGAAGAAGAAGAAGAAGAAGAAGAAGAAGAAGAAGAAGATGAAGAAGAAGAAGAAGAAGAAGAAGAAGTGTTAAATGTGTTTAAACTTATAACTTGGTTACATATATTTACACACTGCACTGTTTTTAACCCCCATTTCTAATTTAAATTTAACTGTTTTCCTGTATTTATATTCACGAATAGTTCGCTTGAACTCAACTGTCTGATGTGAATATTTTTTAATCCATATTAACCCATTAACTGCAACGTATTTACCACCCATTTAATTTAACATTTTGAATTTACTATGATTGCAGCACATAATTTTGTTTTACTTTGATTGGACAGCTTTTCACATGATCCCTTTGATGTGCTTGTTTAGAGAACAAACGTTACTATTCATTTCCCAATGTCTTTTATTTATTCCTGTCTCTCTAGTTGCTGTCGCACTGTGCATCACTGTGATATTGTGTTTAGTGTGTAACAATTATTAAATATTACTGTGTCAGTACCTGCTGTGATTAGCAGCAAGATACTCGCCTGTTGATTGTAACATCGTGGGTTCCATTCCAACAGGAGACAGACAATTTTCAAAAATAACCTTGGCTCACAGGTCGAACCAGCCTTGAGTGGGTACAATTTGCAGTCCTCGGAAGTAATAGCGGCCAGCGTGGTAGTGAGCAAATATCCCCAAAAGTGCTGATTGCTCCATAAAACAAAGGTCTAGCCCCATATGCCCATTACGTCTAAAAGCGTGGAAAAGGGTCCTTTAGTTTATGTCACTAGACTACAAGAAATAAATAAACTTTATGTACTAATGAATGCTGTTCTTGTGTTCGTTACCCACTCCCCCCCCCCTTTTTCCTCGCTTTCTCTTAAATCTTTCATAGTACAATAATAAAGATTGTCATTTGTTGAATTATAATGATTCATATTTATTCCTGAAGTCGTAGTGGTCACTGCACCTGTAGCAGTAGTAGTGGTCATTGCATCTGTGGCTGTAGTAGTGGTCACTGCACCTGTAGCAGTAGTGGCTTTCACTGCATCTGTAGCAGTAGTAGTGGTCACTACATCTGTAGCAGTAGTAGTGGTCACTACATCTGTAGCAGTAGTAGTGGTCAATACATCTGTAGCAGTAGTAGTTGTCACTGCATCTGTAGCAGTAGTAGTTGTCACTGCATCTGTAGCAGTAGTAGTTGTCACTGCATCTGTAGCAGTAGTAGTGGTCACTGCATCTGTAGCAGTAGTAGTTGTCACTGCATCTGTAGCAGTAGTAGTGGTCATTGCATCTGTAGCAGTAGTAGTGGTCACTGCATTTGTAGCTGTAGTAGTTGTCACTACATCTGTAGAAGTAGTAGTGGTCACTGCACATGTAGCAGTAGTAGTGGTCACTGCACCTGTAGCAGTAGTAGTGGTCATTGCATCTGTAGCAGTAGTAGTGGTCACTGCACCTGTAGCAGTAGTAGTGGTCACTGCATCTGTAGCAGTAGTAGTGGTCATTGCATCTGTAGCAGTAGTAGTGGTCACTGCACCTGTAGCAGTAGTAGTTGTCACTGCATCTGTAGCAGTAGTAGTTGTCACTGCATCTGTAGCAGTAGTAGTTGTCACTGCACCTGTAGCAGTAGTAGTTGTCACTGCATCTGTAGCAGTAGTAGTGGTCATTGCATCTGTAGCAGTAGTAGTGGTCACTGCACCTGTAGCAGTAGTAGTTGTCACTGCATCTGTAGCAGTAGTAGTGGTCATTGCATCTGTAGCAGTAGTAGTGGTCACTGCACCTGTAGCAGTAGTAGTTGTCACTGCATCTGTAGCAGTAGTAGTTGTCACTGCACCTGTAGCAGTAGTAGTTGTCACTGCATCTGTAGCAGTAGTAGTGGTCATTGCATCTGTACAGTGTAGTGTCAGTAGCAGTTGGTCACTGCACCTGTAGCAGTAGTAGTGGTCACTGCACACCTGTGCAGTAGTAGTGGTCACCTGCATCTGTAGCAGTAGTAGTTGTCACTGCACCTGTAGCAGTAGTAGTTGTCACTGCATCTGTAGCAGTAGTAGTGGTCATTGCATCTGTAGCAGTAGTAGTGGTCACTGCACCTGTAGCAGATAGTAGTGTCACTGCATCTAGTAGCAGTAGTGAGTTGTCACTGCATCTGTAGCAGTAGTAGTGGTCAATACATCTGTAGCAGTAGTAGTTGTCAACTGCATCTGTAGCAGTAGTAGTTGTCCACTGCATCTGTAGCAGTATTAGTTGTCACTGCATCTGTTAGCAGTAGTAGTGGTCTCATTACATCTGTAGCAGTAGTAGTGGTCACTGCATCTGTAGCAGTAGTAGTTGTCACTGCATCTGTAGCAGTAGTAGTGGTCATTGCATCTGTAGCAGTAGTAGTGGTCACTGCATTTGTAGCTGTAGTAGTTGTCACTACATCTGTAGAAGTAGTAGTGGTCACTGCACCTGTAGCAGTAGTAGTGGTCATTGCATCTGTAGCAGTAGTAGTGGTCATTGCATCTGTAGCAGTAGTGGCTTTCACTGCATCTGTAGCAGTAGAAGTGGTCACTGCATCTGTAGCAGTAGTAGTGGTCACCGCATCTGTAGCTGTAGGGGAGAATAAATGAACATTTTTTACACCACTGCCGCATCAGGCACCTGGTTAGCCAGTTAGTCTTTACTCTTGTGCCTAGGACGGCGAATACGGCAGACGTAATAGCTCGCTATGTCTGGCGGTACGTTGCCACCTGCTTCAGGTCATAGATGTTTATTAGACCCATGGCTGAGCCTTCTTTAATGATGGTTCTACGTAGTGTCTTTCTTAGTCTTTTATCGTTTCATTTTCCCTTTGACAAGTCCATATGAGATCATAAAATGTTTGTCTTTTCCATTTTCAGTTCTATGGGCGATGTGCGTTCCAACGGCGCTTTCTTATAGAAGTGAATCAATTGTCCTTGGGTTGGGTCTCTTATTTTTGATCCGAAATCTGTATAGTGGAACTTTAGTAATATGTCCAATACTTTTATTTCCCAAAAAGGCCTACCGCCCCCCACTGACTTTTTTTTTTTGGGGGGCTTCAGAGCTACGTTGCTTTCCCGCTCTCGCACCATAAGTTACACATGAATCCAAAAG